GTCTTTTCCTTAATGACTACTTTGCTTAGCCGGAGACTTAGAATTATTAAATGAGGACTACCTGTCCTAGATATATACAGTGGTACAAACCTGCATATCCCGATAAACCATCTCATATTGCTGGATCATCTGGCGGCTTATCTGGCTGCCATGATACACAATGGCATTCAACTCGGTCCAAGTGCGGAACTCTCGCTCCCAGTTTGTGATGGTAGAAAGTGGAGCAATGATGAGAAAGGGACCTCGAAGACCCATCAGATAGATCTCAGAGAGGAATGTAATGGACTGGATCGTCTTCCCCAAACCCATTTCATCAGCCAGAATGCAGTTTTTCCTGTAGAAATGCCACAAACAGCCATTACAAAATCTTGGAAGCCCTTCTGCAAACTATTCCTTTACCAATGGGTGAAGTCCCTCGCAGACTAATACTGACACAAAATATTGCCTATGGGAGTTCTTTTAACCAACTTTTTATTCGCTCTGCCTAATTGACAGCAACCTTCTTTGCTCTTGAGATTTATTTCCACACTCTGTGATAATGAACAATGCATATCAGCGCATATGGAAAATTAGCTTTTTCTTGAAGAGTCTATTCATCTTGAGAATTTAACCCTTTTGCAGTTCCTAAGCAAGGCTTCTTTCTCAATTTTTCCCTTCCCTATCCAGTTACCTCTTTCTTTCGCCTCATTCACATCCAGTTTTGTTCTCCCGTTCCTCTTTCCTTCCCTTTCCAGTGCAGCTATCCCTTCTCCTTAACTCATCTCCAGCCTGCTTTTTTGTCCTTTTTTGGAGTTTCTGCTGAAAGGAGGGAAGGTAATGTGTGTATAATGTGTTTTTGCATGTGGGAGTTGTTTGTGTATGATAAAATAAATGGTTGGTAAATGCCAATGAGAGATTAATTAATTTTATAAATGGGACATCTTATTTACAATGAATTAATTTTAATTAGACATTCATTCAGCTAGTGTCCTTTTTTCCCTTGCCTTGTCTTTTATTGGAATATGGATTTGGCAAGTATATAACCACACACTCATAAATCACACACAAGTGTGACACGCACATACATTCACAGGAGACAGGAAAAGCTCCATGTCTACTTCTAGATGGAGATGGGACCCTTGGCTGACCAGATCCTGCACAATCCAGAGGAATTTTATCAGTGTTTATATATTTTTCTATCTACTCTTCCTTTGGGCAGAGGAGCAATAAACTCAATGTAAATATCTTTTCAGGTAAATATGGTAGGCCTAAAGAGGTATAGCAACATCATATGTACGAAATGCTGAGTTAACTTCCCAAGTTCCATGTTTCTAACTTCCACACATATTCTCTGAAATGGTTAAAATAATTTGAAAATGTATGTAAAGGTGTGCACCCACATCTACACCCACAGGCAGGGTGTGATCCAGAAAGGAATTAAGAAGGCAAAACAGAAACAACTCCTGGGACTTCAGGAATAATTTGTCATATTATTATCCCCACTGGGGATGCCTCTCTGCAACTCACCTGTTGTACCAGTTAAAAAGCAGCCAATTCATTCCCTCCAGCTGGTATTCTCGCAATTGGTTGTTGTTCTTATAGTCCCGAGACTTCTCTAGCTTTTGCCAGGACTCTGAGGCAGGACGGTCCTAAGACATAAAAATGAATTAGGGAAGGAGGGAGGGAGGAAGGAAGCAAAGAAGCAAGAAAGGAAGAAATTGTACTGATCAAGAGAGTCCCTGACCAGTTTGGGTTAATAGACATATTTGAAAAATGGTGAGGAGTATGGAGTGTGTAGAGTGTCATTGTAGATATACTACAACCTCCCTTGCCACCAATTTACCAGAATAAGAAATTTGATCTCTGCTACATTCTTTTGCTCTCTCTATAATTCATGAATATTTACCAACAAAATATAAGAAAGCAGCTACTCATCATATATATTGTCTAAAAATAATGATATAGTCTATGTACTATGGTAGAGAGGGGGCAATGATGAGAAGTGGACCTCAAAGATCCACCAAGTAGATCTTAGGGAAGAATGTAATAGACTGGATTGCCTTCCAGAATATGGGTAAATCTAAAAGGACTTAGCTATTTCTGATTGTTTAGACTACTGCAATCAGTTCTATATGGGACTGCCTTTAAAGATATCTTGAATCTTCATATGGTCCAAACTGCAACACAGCAGTATATTTCCAGTATTCACTGATCAGATTCATTATGTATTTGCTGCAGAGTCCATATTGGCTTTAAATATATCAGTACTAATAAATATATAAACCATTTATGGCTCAACACAAAGCTATTTTCAAGCATTCAGCTCTTTAATCAGCCAGAGCTTTTTTATCTTGCCAGGAAAAGTAGCAGGTGATGCCCTGCTTTTGGAAAGTGGAGGAGGCTGAGGCATGAGGCACTGTTATTTCTAGCAGTATCAGGCATCTGGAGTCGTCTCCCACTATAAATTACACAACCCCCAATTTTAGTTACTTTCCAGAAACAATTGTCTTTTGGATTGTTTTGATCAACTGGTTTTTGGATTTTAGGTTTGTCTTTACTGGATTATCACTATTTTAACTTTATATTATTAGAAAACCAAAGTGAACCTTATGGGAGTGAACTGGGATATGTGTGTGTGTGTATTGCTTTGATCAACAAGCTATGGATTGGAAGCATGACAATTAAGTGAATATATCAGTGGCTTCAAAATCATACTCAAAGAATGCTAATATGTGTTCCTCATCAAACTGAAGGGATTGTATCGGCTAGGATCTCACAAGGTTCAAGTCTCAGCCTTGTGTGGTTCAACATCCTTAATAATGACTTGGATGACAAGGTGAATTAAATGCTTCTCAGATTTGCAAATTTCTTGGCAATTTTGATAAGTATTCTTTCCATTTTCTAATGGATAGAGATAGAAATGACATTTTGATAGATTAGAGAAATTTAATAGAGACAAATGCAAAGTTACACATATAGGAAATAGAAATAAAATGCATTAATTCCCCCAAACAAGGATACTTAAGATCTAGGGACCCTGAGAAAACTTGGTTTTCTTTCCTTGTTTTGGCCAAAACCCACCCTGTGATATCTGTCCCACAAATTTCCCCATGATAGATTAAAAAAAAACTAATCCATATCAGAGGTACTGCTATAGTTCATAATGTTGTGGCAGAAAAACAAAGAAATGCTGTAATACTATCTTTTGCAAACCACATAATGAAACAGCATCAAAAGAACATAAAAGAAAATATATAGAAATCATAATTTATGAATAAAAGTATAAAAGAGGCTGAAAGGTGGGGGAGCTTTTTAACCAAAATATGGAAATCAGTAGATCTACTAAATCAATAGATCTATATAAGATAACAGAATTATATATAATTATAGAATTAAAGTATCCCAAAGGTGTTTTTTTCACGAGGCAACTGGATTTTCTTGTTTTTCTTTGAAGACGTTTCGCTTCTCATCCAAGAAGCTTCTTCAGCTCATAATTAAAGTACTTTTGCCCTTACTTAAACATATTTCTTGAGCAAATATACATAGAAACATACATAAAATATATCTAATTGCCAATCATTATCTCAGTGAGAAAAACATACTCTGTAAAATATAAGGAAATATGTTTTTGTATCAAGTATTTTGAAAGCAAATATATTTTTGGAAAGGACAAACAATAAAATTGTATGTTTATTTATTGGAAGATAGTTCAGTAGAACCATAGGACTGCAACCTAACTGTGTGTGTAAGTTCCAGTGCTTGTGGCACTGGGAAACAGATTGGAATTTTCATGAACAATATGGGATGCTGTCTTCAATGTAGAAAATACTATTTCTTCCTTTACTTTGTACTCTGACTGGCACAGTACAAATGGCGAAGGCATCTGAAGGAAGACAAGAGAGGAATGCTCAGAGCTGCTCGGTTTAAGTACCAAGGAAAGACACAAGAAAGAATAGCAGGATTAAAAAAAAA